AGATATGATAAAAATATTGGAGGATCCACAGTGCTATCTTTTTTCCACAAGAAAGTGGGCACCGCAACACCACTAATGCTGAAAATCAATAGCATCGCCGCACCGCAACCCCCAAGATGGGTGCCACAGTGCCGTCGGGTGAGAAAAAAGAAATTTTGAAGTTGTTGGACTTTTTCTTTGCCCAAGACTTTAAAATATTATAAATACAAACCTAAATACCATAATTTAAAGGAGTCTTCAATTGGGCAAGAAACAAGAAATCATCAAGAAATTAATGAGAAATCAAGAACAATATCGCAAAGATTGAATATTGACCAAAACTAGGTTTTCTTCTCTTTTTTGTGTTGATTATTTGAATTTGATTATTTTTATAGCTTCTATCATAAACTAAACATCAAATCTAGGATTTAATTAGCCAAAATTTGAGAGTATGATTTAAATTTATTTAAGTCATTCCTATGAAATTTTCTATTCTGTTATTTGTGTTATGATTTTAATACTTTCAATTAACTGATCACTAATTGAATAAGTAGATGTTAGTCAATTTCGACACTCGAGAGAGGGAAATTTAGGTGCGATTATAAGATTAACACGACGTAGATTTTATGGATTTTGAAAGAAAGTATAGAATTTAAGAAACTTACTCCATGAAAGAACCATGAATTTGATAAATTCTTGATTTTTAATTTGGAATAGAGATATTGAAATTGAAAATGTGATTATAAGATTAACACGACGTAGATTTTATGGATTTTGAAAGAAAGTATAGAATTTAAGAAACTTACTCCATGAAAGAACCATGAATTTGATAAATTCTTGATTTTTAATTTGGAATAGAGATATTGAAATTGAAAATGTGATTATAAGATTAACACGACGTAGATTTTATGGATTTTGAAAGAAAGTATAGAATTTAAGAAACTTACTCCATGAAAGAACCATGAATTTGATAAATTCTTGATTTTTAATTTGGAATAGAGATATTGAAATTGAAATCTATGATTAATTTTTAGCCGCCACTCAAGAGATGGGATAGAGATATAATTGAGTTCTTGCTTATAAACATGAGAAAGTTAATTAGAGATAACTAGATAATTGAAAGTCATATTTCTTAATTAGGTGAAATCAAATCCTAGGCTTTCTTATCTTGAGTAATTTTTTCAAACTTATTTTGATATTGTTGAATTTGTAACCATATTCATTATTAGAATAGTTTAAAAACATTGATTTTATAACTCATTCGTCTGGATAAAATTAAGGCTATATAATTATAATATTTAGTAGAATTTGAATTACGATCCCTATGGGTTGGATATTCTTAACTTCATTCATATATTATAAAAGTTGACACCGTACACTTGCGAAATAAATTACATCATAGAAAATGCATGACAAACAGGGTTCCAAATTTTCATTGAACAAATTACATACTCATTTTCATTGAACAAATTACATACTCTTTAAATTTCTTTTCTTTTCTTCATATCTACTTGTTGAAAAAAATTAATTTATATTTTTGTATTTGAACTTTTGAATTACTATGCCTCGAAATTATTATTATTCTCCAAATTCTATAATTACGTTCATATCAAGCCAAAACTCTTTTCTGCCATAGTTTCTTCCAGTTATGTAAGAATTAGTGTTTGCATTATTTAAAGGATTTCATTCAAGGAATTTTATTTTTTTGATACACAGTTTGATTCTCCGTTTAGGGTTGGTCTATATTCTCCACTTTGGTACATTCTTTGTCTTTAGTTGAAAGATTATGTGTTCCAATAATTTGTATAGGTGTGAATATTTTTATATGGTTTACATATTTGTAGATTATATGAACTAATGTTGTGAATATTTTTATAAAGTATACAAATAAGAATTTTTTTTTTCTAAAAGTTTAAATTATTTTTAAATTTTAAACTATGATAAATATCATCTCATTACTCATAAATAGCTAGAGGCAGAAGTATCTTAGTAAGTTAGCTATATCTCACCCGTTTGCTATTGGTTTTTAGTGCACATTAGAATGGAAATCCAAATATGTAGTGTCTTTCAAGTTATTCTCAGTTTATTTACGAAGTCTAATAATAGTGTTTTTTGTAATTTATATTTGTTGCAAAGATATGTATATAAAGTCTAATCATAACAATGGAATCTATTTTTTTTTTTTTCACATCCCGTTAACTTAAGCAAATGATAAGGATATCAATTCAAATTCAAGAAGAAACAAATTTCAATAGGCCTATACTTTACAATGACCAATAACAAGGCTAAAAAACAAACAATATCTAATGTAGGAATATACCTTCGCGAACATGAACTATCTCATGGGTTACTATGTCGCACTCTCTCGAAATTTCAAAGTATACAACAAAAGTCATCATAAAAGTAAAAAAATAAAAAAGAAAAATTAGTGGAATGTTGACAAAAAATACCGTGTACAAAGAAGTGTTATTATAATTAAAGCATTATATTTGAATTTATTCAATATTTTCGCATTATATACATAATTTCATAAAAGAAAAATTATTCATTTATATTCTTTTAGATAGTTTTAGTTTTTCATTTAACAAAATCAATTACCTTAACTACTTTCAAAAACAATATACATATAATTTATCCGATACATAAGATGTGCAACACACATACTTACTACTAAAAAATTAAAAAACACGTGGCTGCAAATAGTGTGCTAAATTTTTTGTGTTGCTAGATTTTTTTTAAAAATAATACTTCATTGAAAGTTGCAATTGAGCCCTTGATTGGTAGCCATTATTTTAAAACTTAATTTTTTTTAAAATTTTTTATTTTTTGCATAATCATTTTTAACAATATATTCGCACAATAAAATATTTTACACGTAATCCCAATTTTTTTTTGACTTTTTAATCATACATTCTCGAAAAAATCACTACTCAAAATATCATTTTTCAACAATAATATCTAACAGGGCTAAGTTAAAACTACACTAAGTAGTTCCAAAGGGATTTTGCCACCCTGTACAAGTGCTAGATGCAATGCTAGCAACACTGCATTGGCTGTCAACACTGCATTTTTTGGACAGTGTCCAATGACAGGATGAGTGTGCTTGTGGCATCCTATCAAGCTGTATGTATAGATTTTCTACACGTACAAAAAAGTCATTTCTAAAGTGAGAATTATCAATTTGTTAATTATCAACCCATCTAAAGTTAAGAAAAATGAACAATTCAAACTTTCAATCAGTGTAGGTTAAGTAGTGGTAATAACAATCTTAACTTTCTTAAATAAGAACTAGAACTTGAATAGGAAAACAAGTTAACACACTCAATTGTTTTAGTTTGCTAATTGTTCCTAGAATTTTTTAGTGGAGCTTGTAGCCTAAGCTTATTAAGAGGCTTGAATTTCAACTTGCGAGATTCTTGAATGCTTGCCTAGGTAGATTGCATTTATACTTTTGAATGCTCTATCTTCGGGATGGTTTGTTAAGTATGGACGAGGTTTAATTAAAGCTTTAGTGCCTCCTTTAGAAGGAGAGCGTCGGGGATGAAACAAACAGTGATCCAGCAAATAAGTAGGGTTGAAATTGAGTTCCAAAGCGAGGTTGATCACTAAAAAAATCAAGTCGAGCTTCTAACCACCAGCTTAGCTACTTGCCTCAAGTATTCCCGCAACAGCGGACAAAACTACAGTAGATGGTAGCATTAGTTACAGTTGCCACTCAAAGCAAAAGCCTTTGAGCTATGAACAACAGGTGAAGAGTTCGAGATATCAAAGATGAGGACATCCATTTTGGTTGAGTAATTTTTTAGCAGACAAATGGAGGGCTCTTAGGGACTAAGAGGGTTGATTATAGAGCTAAAGGCAAATCGAAGGTTTGTCCATCGAGATTAAAAAATTCCGGCTTCATTTTTAATCTAAAAGAAGCTTCGCAAAGTGTACTCTCAGTCCCAATCGTATGACAGGGCCCCTACCATTCTTCCCTCTATGGAACCAAGCCAAATCCTCAACTACGTTACCCATCAAGTATTTATTGGTGTAGGATTGAAAATGAGGCCTTTTGCATGTTTCACACGTGGCTTCATCTTGACGATTAACAAATCAAACACTCTACAATCACAACATAGCATAGCCATCATAGATAATTTTTATTAATAAAATCCTTATTTAATGATCGTTATCTTCTATATATCTCACATGTTCATTCATAATAATAATAATAATAATAATAATAATAATAAATAACGCATATGACCTCGATGCAAAACTAAAGGACATAAACTATAATGAAATCAATAAAATAGTGCAACATTTTTTTATATTGAAACACTTGCTCATCTTTATTTCTAATATTGTAATATATCTAGTATCTGTCACCTCCACGTGTAATGTAAACACAGTATATAGAAATATCAAATATATGTCTACATGCATATAATTTATACGTATGCAAGTGTCTGCATGTATCTTTTAGTACTATACTATTGTGCTAAAAGAAGATTTGAGTCACGAACTCATATTACCAAATAACGTATATATTTTTATTTCTACCTATACATAAAATATTTAATCCAATAATTTGAAAAAACAATTGATACAATTCTTATTTTTGTCCTATCATTTAATTCACTTAAATATAAACAACAATACTTTAACATCTCTTTATGATGAATAATACCGCGTAAAAATTTAAGGATATAAATGAGCAAAAATTGGTGACATTCATTGCAATTGAAACGTGATGTTACGAGGACAACTAACTTTTTTAGTAAATAAATAAATACATAAATGAAAACTTAGATCAATGACAAAAAATAATGTTAATAGAACTTTTTTAGTTACAACTAAAATGTTTGTTACAAATAATATGAAGAAAAAGCCGCATTTACCAATAAATAAATAAATAAATGACAGCTAATATCCACGTCACGCGAGCCACGTGACCAGACTCCTCCCCCTTTCGAAACCGCTTCGTTGCTCTCTATGACATGTACATATAAATATGACAAAAATCTATAAATATCCCCTTCTTCTGCCCTTTTTCATTTTCAGCGAAGGCGAAGCAAAACCGGAAACCCTTCTTAGTTCTTACGTAACCCCTGCACTTTCCCTCGATATATGTATATAGTCATAAATCAGTAACCCTAATTGATATACATACACATATAGCTCATTGGTGAAACGATTATAAATTATGTCAATTCGGTTCAAATTTCGGAGCTCGGTGAATTTCGACACGGTGGACATCGATGGCCGGGGTTCAATCTCTGTTCGAGAGCTACGGGCTAAAATTCTTAACGGAAAAACCCTAGGCGCTGCCCGGCAACAGCAGCACGATTTCGATCTTGTGTTCTTGGATGCGGATTCTGGTCAAGGTACGATTCAGTACCCTTCTTTTCATTCAGTTTCGCTCCTTCCTGCAATTTGCTAATTTTTGGGGATTTTGTGGATTTTCTCGTTCTATTAGTGTTATGTCCTTGTATGATTTTTGCGGTATTTTTTTTAATTAAATAATATAGTTTGTTTATTAATGAGTATGATTCGCTTTGGGGGTAACTGGAATTGATTCAGATTACAAGGATGATAATTTCCAAATTCCTAGCGGATCCAGCGTGATTGTTAAGCGAGTTCCAGCGGGGACTGTGCCATCGGTTATGTAAGTTCTTTTCTATTACGATTTATACTTTGTTTTTCTCAGTAGTATTTATAAATGCTGTGAGTGTGCATGTACTGATGAATGTGAAATTACACATTCAAATATTTATTCCTGTAAATGGTGCACTTTTGGAGATATGAGATTCAGATGCAATGATGAATTCAAGAAAAATAAAGATCCAGCATATACTGTTAGAGATAATCAAAAGTCTCATGGGGGGTTATAATTGTGTATGTCTTGGAAGTGTGCATTTTGACGATTAAAGAAATTTGTTTTTCTGTACATGCTAGTGCTTGTAATATGACGGTTGGAATTCATTTGTTGGTAGTTGCAAAAAAAGTAGAATTTCCTGCACCGCAACTTCAGTTTTCGATCATCAGGATGCAAAAATTATGAACACAGATGACAATTATTGCAGATGTTACGTTGTATGATTATATAAATTAGGGACTGATAAGAGAAAGTTCGTTATAATTAAACACCCATGTCATTTGGAAGTCGGTATTTATTCTTTAGCTTGCATTAATTCCTGTATTACTGAAATTGCGTGCTTCGGTTGGTCAATTGTTAAAATGGAAGTTTATTTCAGAAATATAGCTAATAAATAGATTTTGACTTCAAATGCAGTTTTGGAAGTTTTGGATTCTTCTTCTGACTAGTTTCCTTGTAGAGCTATTCTCGTTGATAATCACGTGGAGCTTCTGCACAGAAATGCAATGAGAAATCTGTTTTTTCTTTTTTGATAAAATTTGAACAAGTATCGTTTTTTTTTATCGTAAACTGTAATAATCAACCAGCTCCTTTATGCTCCTTTTATTATTTTATTTATCATAAAATTTAGTCATATGGAGTATTTTTAAGATATATATTAACTCTTGCAATTTCCCTGTTGTAATTTGTTCGTTACAGGGTACCCGTCGAAACTGTTAAGGATTTAGGGATGAAAGACTCCCGTCAAAAGAATCCAGTTGTAAGCACGTGTCACTTTTTTTCTTCAACTTCTATCCTTTGTTTTGTCTTACTTTCACCTCTGAGTTTAGATTGTTTCTTAAATAAATAAATAAATGCTACGCATGAAGAATGTCTTGATAGATTATTATCCAGGTGAACCTGTTTTACCATTTCTCATCTCTCTCCCTGTATATCTCCACCCTCATCTTCTGGAGTAGACTTCTTTCTCATCTTGGATGCCATTTTCCTCTGAAATTGTCATTTTTATTAATTGGTATAAGCCTATAACGGATTTAGCGACTAGGTATTTGACAAGGAAGTCTGACACGTATGCTACACCCCCAAGTTGCCGAACCGTGTCTGATGCATAAGGTGGCCTATCCCCTTTTTCTTTGGTTTTATGAAGTATGATACATCGCAGACACATCTCCGACATGCTGGGAAATAGGATAGTTGCCAACAGTTAAAGGATAATCTGACAACAAATAAAAGAAACTTTCCAGCACTTTGCCTTTCTATCTCAGAAAAATTGCAAGGCGCGGCATCAAGGAGATGGGGAAGTGTTAAAAGAGGGACGTCACATATCTGGAGGAGGGCGGTGCTGTGGGTGTTCGGCGGTCGGTGTGGATGGAGTTGGGTCATGCTTTACTGCGCCTGTGAAAGATGAAATGGGAAACCCTAGTTCGGACAAGGCGTTGTAGTATTAACTGATAAAATTTTCCTTTTATTTTCTATTTTTAAAAATGCAAGATCAGTTGTCACTTGTAAAAGCATGGTCAATATTGCGGAATAACAGAAACCGTAAGCGCAGAAACCGGACAATCAATTTTTTGCAAAAACAGGCAACCTTTTTAACAATTTTAATAATGATTTAACCTTCAATTTAATTGCAAAAATGCCCAATGCAATTTTAATACTAACTCCAGTTCAAAAAGACCCATAGGACTTCATGGACTACAAAAAAAATTAAAATGTTCTACACACGCACATATAATAATTTTTTTTAATTTTCATTAATTTATCCTACTTTTCCTGAAATAAATTTGTAGCCTGTCTTGTCCAAAATGCGAGATTCAGTGCTGCCTAGGTTACGGCATGGCTTCCATACCATTTGCATGCTTTTATGTTTTCTTGCGAATTGTTATCCTGTAACTGATGGACATTGTTGGATCTTACAGAGTAAACCAGAGGATGAATTTGACGACTTTGGTGCTGATTTCTGTCCTACACCTGTTGCAAACTTTCCTGACTTTGATCTAGAATTTTATAAAAATAACTTCTGGAGCAGTGAGAAGCAAGATATTATTGGTTTAAGGTATAAAGCATATGGACCTTTTATCTGTACAAGTCTATACAAAGTACAAACTTTGTTCTACTCAAATTGTGTGTATCTCTGAACTGTGGGGTTTGGGTCTACAAATGATGTTGACATCTGCCAATCGCTTATAACTGATTTGAATGGATACTGAATATGTTACTTGTCCACATATCCTAAATCTTCAGTTGTTGGAGAAACAACGTTTCTGTAGACTGTAGAAGTGTTCAAATTTCGTTTGGAGGACATAATAATGCCATAAATGATGAACTTGATAATTTTTGGACCTTTTCTCATAAAAAAATATGACTGATATTATTTATTTATTATTATTTTTTTAATGATAAATCAGTTTGATTAACAAGATTTTCTATATATCTGAGGCAACAACTAGAAGAATTGTTACTGTATAATGCATTATACACAAATTGTTGGGTTTAACTGCAACACATTTCCTTCTGTTCATCTTTGCAACCACCATTTTTTCCCTCGAAAAGGACAAATTTGCCTTTATATTGGAAATCAACTCACATATCTCTTTGAATACTATCATATTTTCTCTTGCATGTATTAATTTATGATGCCCCCGGAGTGGGGAGTTGTGGCAGCTTATCTTCATTCTTGCTTGAATAAATTTCCTTGAATGAAATATCATATTCAGTATTTGACATAGATGCCTTGTGCCATCCAGGTTAGGATGTCAAAAGCTTGAATCAAGTGACCTTAATCAAGCACTCCCCAGAGGTTTGTTGTATTTTGGTTTATCTTTTGCTAATATTTTGCACTAGTTTAAACTTATGAAGATACTTGTGAATCTCAGCTTCCTCCAATCAAAATGGGAATGAGAGAAAAAACTTGCAGGAACCAACAGTTGAAGAACGGATGAAAATGGCCAAGTATAAAATGTCACTTTTCATTCTGTTTACTGCTTATACTTTTTGCAATCTGACTTATGTTTTTCTTTTCCGGGGGCAAAGGCTTTCTACTGCCAATTTGGTAGCCTTGCAAAACACCAATTTGCCATTAGAATTGAAGTGCACACTCTGCAACACTTTCTTTAAGGACGCTGTGATGATACCTTGTTGCCAGCATAGCTTTTGTGAGAAATGTGAGTTAGGCTTTTTGAACTGCATTGATATTGTTGCTAGCTATGTATACATTACTTATGTTGTAGTTTAAACTTTGAAGATATTTGCCCAAGTTTGAAAAAATACGAGATGTTTTTTATATCTTCAATATTTGTACAAACATTATTGCTTATATTTTATTCTCATATATCTTTGTCAGTGTTATTAATAGTACCTGCATATAATTTTTATAATTATTCGTGGCTATGGCGGCAGGTATACATCTAGCCCTTACTGAAAAGAGAAGATGCCCAAAATGCTTTTCCAGCAAGTGCAAGGTAGAAGATCTGCTGCCCAATTTATCACTTCGTCATGCGATTGAGCATTGCCTTGAATCTCAGATGCTAGATGCTGGTTTAGAGAATGCTATGGAGAAATATGCTCCAGGTAAATTTTTTTTTCTCCGATAAAGGTTGATGCACATGGGAGAGAAGTCAAACCAGCATGGTACATCACTGTTTTGTTGTTTTAATGCAGATGGAGAATCTGGAATCCAAGTTAAAAGAGATGGTTCTTGTGCTTTAACTGTTGTTCAAAGGGAAGTAGAGTTTCCTGAGTCTTCTTCTGCAAGTGGGATAGGATCCAATCAAGTACTAATGGAATCATACAATGAGCCACTACTTCGGAGAAACACACCATATAGGCGCTCTGATAATCATGTCAGTATTGGAGGTGGGAATGGAGATATGAGATCTGCTATTCCATCACATAAAACCAAACAAATAGATGCTGGAGGGGGTGGAAATCCTCGGCATGCCAATACAGAAAGAGGATTTGATGATTTAGCACCTCCAGCTGATTTTCAGGGGGAAAATCAACCTTCTGATATTCCTCGAGTTCATATTCATGATGAAGGTAAGTGCACTTCTACAATCTTCTAGCTGATATTACGTTACTAACTGCAGCTGATTCTGAAACTAACCATGTAGGTTTTGATATCTTGCGGAAAGCCATTGTTGCCGAAGTCGTGTGCCTATTTCTTCAATCTACTGATGTCCAACCAATTTGCCTTATTACAAAAAGGGGGGGGGGGGGGGGGGGGGGGGTTGATTGGATTGAAACTGGAGGTGCAATCAAATGCTTTAGTAGCTATATACTTAATGGTGGAAATAAATATTACTGTCTATCATGTATTCTGCTAATTGAAATAATTTAATTTTCAGGTGGAGACAGAAATTTTTTGGCTCATGGTAGTTACAAAAAGGTAAATTCACAGGCTTTATCTAGTTATAAGTTATAACTAATGAGCATATTATGGTTTCTTACATACATTATATAAGCTTTTTAAAGTGTGAGCCTTGACTGAATTTGCTGGTATTATAATTTCTATATGTTCTGTAGCATAAATTGAATTTCATGTATCAGTCAAAAATACAACCCAGGATTTTTTTTGGGCTGAGTAGAGAACAATCTTCTGAAAATGAAGTATTTCCTATATTATCCTAAAATTTCTTTTCTCATCCCCCTTCGTTCAGGTGCCCTTGTAGTTTGTGGAGCATTCTAGCAGTTTTTATTTACTGAACTCTACTGGGATTAACAAATATGTCTGGAATCGTTAATCAAATTTTGTGTCTTGCATGATGCAAGGTCTTATATTGGCATGATTTCAGTTTAAGTTTCTCAATATTGTTTGACATTGTTGAAATTCAGAGGGGACGCAATTGTTACGCATGTGGTTCTCCAGATCATCTCATGAGAGACTGCCCTCTTGCTTCCAGTCTGCATCCCTTTCAGCCAGGTACGAACAAATCTTTCCTACTTGACTCCTATATCCAACAGGAAAAGTTCATATTATCAATTACTGCTGTTATTTTAGGAAATGGAGCATTTCATGGAGGTGTGCCAGGCTATCCGCCGCCTTATTGGAATGATTCTATGTTTCCCTTCAGGCCTTGTGCAAATATGTACAGTAACCCTTCAGTGATGCCCTTTAATGTCTCTGTGGTTCCAGTGACACCTTTTGCAGTTCCTCCATACATTACTTCTATGGGTGTTGGCTTACATGGCCCTGTGTAAGTTCGATGTGTTTTCATGTGGTACACTTGTCTATTTTGAGTCTCAGAATAACTGTCGGCAGGTTTTGAGACTAAGTGATATCTCGCAGGGGAAACATGGGAATCCAAGGTATGGGTCCTTCTGTAGGAAATAGAGCTGAGAGGCCTCCCTACTCCAACTTGGAGTTTCAGCATTTTGAACACAAAAAGAAGCATTCTAATGAAAATCTGGGAAGGTAATTTGAATGATATAGCACAGCAGTAAGGATTAAAAGTCATGTACTGTTTTTCTCGCTGCACATGCACACACAAATGCATCTCGAAAAAAAAGCAGCCCATGAAAAGTGTCGAAGAGAGGAGAAATCATGGCAAAACTTAGTTTCTCGCAAGGAGGAAGTTCATTTGTTAGTTGATAATACATATGCATATTTTGATAGCATTGCCACTGTTAAAAGTTATGCTATTTTCTTCATGGTATCATCATTGATATGATTTTCTGTAAGTATTTTTGACTTAGGCAATATCACAAGTAGATGGGAATTTAAGCTCTTAAAGCATCGCACTGTTGAGAATTCACTGACATTATCCTTTCGACTTCTGATTGCAAGTCCAGCTACCATTTTTTGAACTATAGGCACGCCTCTCACATAGTTTCTCATTGTTTTTAAGTTTTCTATTATTATATCATCAGCCTTCTTTGAAGAACACGAGGACACATTTTGAAGTAGACAGGAGGAGATGCTGTGAATTCTCCTGCAATCATGAAATTACATACGGGTGCTTGGGGTCATATACCTCATTTGTAACTTCCTTTTTATTTTCATATTAAATAGAAATATGCCCCTGTTTGGCCTGATTTCTTAAAACTCATTTTCAACCACATATTTTGCGAAATCCGTAACTTCTATCAAACTTCTAACACAAATTTCATAAACTTTTTTCAAAATCTATTAAAAATCTCATTTTTATCAAAACCAAACATGGGCTATATTGTTTCAAAGGTTGTCTTTTCTTTTTGAGGTTTATGTCGGGTAATTAATTTCTTCACTAACACACACCCTCCAAAAAACCTAAAGGCGTAACTCAGTGGTCAGACTTTGGGTTTGCTCCCCAATGGTCACCAGTTTGAGTCTCCTCGGAGCCACTGAGGTGAGTACCCGACTTTAAATTTCAGGGCTCCGTGGGATTAGTTGAGGTGCGGGTAAGTTGGTCCGGACAAAAAAAAAAAAAAAAACTATCCCCTATCCCCCCCCACCCCAAAAGAAAAAAAAAATGTCTTGGTAAATTAAGCAATTGCAAGCCTCATGTCATGGTCGCTGTTTCATTCCTTTCTCTTTTAAGATTGTTTATCTAAAATGCTTGTTCTTGATAATCAGGAAGTCATGATTCACGAAATATTTTTACTGCACTAAGACTTCTGCATAGTTGTGTTCAATCTGCTTGCTCCTTTTCTTCTCATCTGCAGCCTTTACTGATGTCCTTTTCTTTCCTATATAGTAATATTATATTGTTATTGCTAATTGCTAATAAAGCTATGTGTACCAGAGAAAAACGTCATGAAGAAGAAGATTCTCATGGATGCCGTAGGGATAATAAGCCAGATAAATCAGATCAATATAAATCACAGAAAGAGAAGGAACATAGTTTGAGTCAATCTGAGGACAGCTTTACTCGAAGATCACAGAGAAAAAATCAGCATGATAAATATATAGATTCTGGCATTCGCTACATCGACGAAAGACTGGATAAAAGCTCTCGCTCCTCTGCTGCTTTAAGAGACAAGAGGCTGCATCGTTCAGAGAGATCAAATTCAGGCATTGAAGATATGTCCAAAAGTTCTGAAAGGTATAGTGGAAGAAGGCACAAAGATCATCATGAAGAGTCAAAGCATCTCAAGAAGGTAGAGTGTGACAGTGATTCAAGTTTGGGTCATTATCCGTTGAAGAAAGATGTCATAAGAAGAGAGGTGTTTGATGCCAGAGGCTCCCATATTGATAGGAGGGAATGCGAAGAGAGGGATTCAGGTCATGATTCGAGACATTCCCGGCATTTTGCAAAATACTCAAGATATGAACAGCACGATGACAAGTGGCAGATTGTCAGTGGCTCCAATGACTACAAAGATGAATATCGGCACAAGCGGAAAAGAGTCTATTAAAACCGGTATGATTTCTGAGGTAACATGTATATGAAATTGCATGCTTGTGGACTTTGGTGATACATATTCTATCCTCTAGGTATTTGTATTAACTTGATTTAGTTTTAGCTGTAGTTTAACAGGGTAAATAGCTTTTTGTTATTAAAAGATTCATCAACTTATTTCAATACCTGTAGGTAGTAAGATCTAATCACAACCTCTGCTATTTTATTGGAGATAAATTAGATTGGTCCGCTTTGGACATTCAGAGGGTATTATCCTACCTTTATTTTTCTTAACTAACCTTCTTCCCTTCTTTAATGTGAGGTTTGGATGCTAGCAAAATTGAAATAGTGTTTGGAACCTTTTTTGTGCCTCTCAATCATTCTTTGTGCTGAGGTGTTGAAGCTGATGAAGGTATGTCCTTTTAAAATCAGAAAAAGGGAAAAAAATTCTCAATTAGTATTGAATCGCAAATAAGCTCAACGCCTTTTCATCGGAGAAGTTTGTCTTTTAAGCCCCTATGCTCCATTTCATTGTTCAGTCTAAAATTAGTTTTCAACTAAGGAAGCAAGTCTTTATAAAATGAAAAGAGCAAAAACACTTGTTAAGATACAAAAACTCTACTTAAACATGTCCAATTTATATTCCCATCAAAAATTGAAATTTTTATAGTAAGCTTAATTTGGAGTTTTGCAAAAGAAAAAAATTCTCTTAAATTTTTATCATTTGGTATCCGTTGCAAATATGATTGGATCTTTTTTAAATAAGGACTATTAACCTTTTTTTTCCCTGAATTAGGAGGCAGAGACCAAATTATGTGGGATAGGAATAAGAACTAGTAGAAGTGTTTTCTTTTTCCTTCTTTTCAGTTTAGTAGGCTATGAACTAATTAAATGGGGACTCAAGATACAATTTTGCATTTGTCTTGACACCATTTGGATAGTCATTTAATAGCCTGCAGCAAGGTGAGAATTGCTTGCATCATTATTGTGCATGTTTGGCTTATTTGTACCCAAATCAATGTCAAATCATTTTAAAACGTAATCAACTGTTTGGTTGTAAGCTCAAATTTCTTCTTCATTATTTGGAATTTGCATTGATTATTCTTCTTGTATCTTATCACACATTCATTGCATTGGGCTTCTAGTTTCTGCATTCTGGATATATTTTTTTACAAAGAGGCTGCAAATGTGCTGAGCCATTCATGAACAATTTATGTTTGGAGCTTTATATAGTTTCATGTTTCTTGGCTAGTTTAACCAATGTGTCAGGCATGAACTTACCTTTTTCATTCATTATACTTATCATGAAATCACTTAATTTGAGACGTGTTTTTGAGATTCATCTTATTTTATGCTAGTAAATATACAAATCATGGTAATCATATCCTTAGCTTCTGTCTTTTCTTGCAACGTTGTGCAAATAGAATCGTGAAGTATGGTATGTTATTCACAATTGCATATTTTTTTTCCTGTGATTTTGTTCGAATGTAAGATGTTCACGAGCATGTTTGAATGTGCTTAATAGTTACCTTTTCATGAATATAAGTTAATATTTAGCCTTTTTTGGAGCCCTATTTTTTGGAAAAAAATGCATTTTTCAATAATATTTTAATATTATTTTAACCACACATTTTTCAATAAAATAATATTACATGCAAATCCAAAATTTTTCCTTATTTTCTAACCACACATTTCCCGTCAATACACTATTCAAAAATTCATTCTTCCCCCAAGATGGGGCTCAAACAAGGGCTTACTTTTTAGTTTCTAGAAACAAAAGTTTTTCGAGTAAAACGCTTACTTTGTAAATCATGACAGTCAAAATAAGTTATTTAAAAGTAAGTTTGATTTAATATTTAGCATACCTAAACATGCTGAGCACTAACAAATAAAGAACGAGCACAAACTGAACTTTTGAGCTTGGTTTCTTTAGTAAATGACCCATGGACAACTCCAAGTCATGGGAAGTGGGGAAGTGGGCGAAACCATGTTCAAGTCTTTTTTTTTTTTTTTTTTAATCTTGTCTTGTCTTCATTTTATATTTTCTCCCTTTCCTTTACGTGCAATCTTTTGTTGTTCTTTTTATATATTTTTCCCATAATTATTGCACAAACTTTTTTAGGTGTCCTTTATTTAAATCGCCCTTCTTTTTTTAGTAAGACAATCTTTATGCTTTGAAAAGTGGTGTAAAAAGGCCTAGCGTCCATTTTTTAACCAGTCTTTGTAGCACGTACTACTTGATAGGAACTGTGATGTAATTAGTGCAATGAGATGCCTTAGAATTAAGAAACACTAGAACCTGACCGGAATGATTGTGTTGGCTGGTAAGACCGGAAAAAATGGAAACTGAAATCCGGTCCAGTTTTATATGTATATATAATTGAGTGTTATGAAGGCCCTTCTTTCCCCCAAGACCAGACTGCACACCCTAAAACTGGCCTGTTTCTATCTATTATTTATTATTTATTTATTTTCTAATCAGTTCAACCCCGATTTTACCTTTTTACTTTTATGAATCAATGCTTTTCAAAACATTGATAATTTCATACAAAGTGACTGGACAGTTCGAATCATGTATGGCCTAGAGTCAATTGCTTGACTAAAATTACATTACTATTTCTGCGAATACATGCAGAAGAGATCAGGGTTAGAAATTAGTTTATCTCACTAGGAGTTGAATGAAGTAGTGGTTTTGTTGTGTGCAAACGATCTTAACGCTTATACTTATGAGAATAATTTCGATTAATTGGATGATAATGGTAGATTAATGAATAAAGTTGTGACTTGCTATTTTCAGAACTCTCAATTTTATCTGTGCTCTTCTTCCCTTCATATCGAGCCTCTGCTCACATGTTTATTATCTAGCCCAACCATTTCCCCCATTGTTTCTGTCTGCTTGTCGCAATTTCCTCATCTCCATCTATCCTTCATTTTCAGTCTTCTCTTACGCTCATTTATCCCTTCCCCTATTTCTGGATATAGCTGACACTCAAATACAATTTATTGTATTTTCTATATGAAAGATTGGTTAATTAAGGGCCTGTTTGGGCCCGATTTTTTCACCCAAAAAATTGATTTTTGGACCGTTATTTCACTATTTCAGCTGTCATATTTGACTTCTTCTCTCACAGATGGACTCCACTTTTTTCCTAACGGTCAAAAAATCAATTCTCAAAATCACTCCCAAACAGGCTCTTATTGTTGAGGAGTTTGTTGATTTCCAACTTCTAAAAAGAGGAAGTCGATCTTAACTTTTTGGATTAAGCACATCATGTGCAACTCAGTTTAGTGCTTAGAAATTTGAAATTGAGAATGATCAACTAGGGTAATGTAGCAATTTGATGGAGATTTGGATGATTTTCATATGCGAGCAGTGATTATGTGACTATCATGCAAGTTTGAAGATCAACTTGTTCTTTTATTGAACGAGTTAGAGCATCTTCAAGTGAGACTATTTTTAAAAAGCATATTTTTACAATTTAAAAAAATCTATAAAGAAAATTTCTAAGTTCTTCGACAAGCTCTTTATATTTAATATTTAATTTTACTACTTCCAAAACATATTTATATTTTTTTTCTTATCATTTTTTTTTCCATTAGCTTTCTTTTAAATTATTATATTATATTCCTTTATTGAAAATTGAAATACTTTGAATACATTAATTTATAGAAAGTGGATTTGGAGAGTCAAATTCAGTTTTTAAATTAAAATGTTAATTTAAAGAATCTCTCGAGATGCTTTTGGGGAAAAATTTACTACTTGGGCTATATGGTGGAGAACTAATTTTTGTCATGCGTTCCTTTCTAATGTAGTGCAGTTCTCATGCAATTCTATGATTGTGAAGTCCAAATAAAGCCGATTTGAATAATGCTATTTAACATCCGTCTAGTGAGTATATTTTATATGTTCAATTAAATGAATCATATGACTTTGCATTTAAATAAATCTATCATTTAAAGTCATGTAATTGCAATCTAAAATAGTGCTTAACACTAGTGATGATAAATATTATTAATCAATCGGTTTTCATAGCAATATTGAAAAATTATGGCCTTGTTTGATCCACATATATATATATATATATATATATAATTTCATCTACATATTCTTCAATAAAATAATACTATATGTAAATTCAAAATTTTTCCTTATTTTTTAACTACACATTTCTCATCAATATACTATTTAAAAATGCACTTTTATGAAAATATTGTGGCTCAAATAAGGGCATAAATATGATGATTGAGATGCTAGACTCCGTGGTAGAGTTGGCCAAAAGCTGGTGTTGTAAACTTTTATACTCGGGGACTTGGGGTAACCCGATTAAACTTTAACAGAAGGAATGTAGCAGGGTTGGCAGCTGTAGTTGTGGCTTGGTAGCTGGGCTGGTGGCGTGGTTGCTGAAGGTGGTGGTGGCTGTTAGTTTGCTAGTGGGGTCAGGACAGGGGATGGCGGAAGACAAGGTTGTGGATGAAGGCGGCCTTTCTTTAATCAGGAAAATTTGATAATTTTATACATAATTATGTTATGAAAAAAAAAGTATGAAAAATTGATAAAATTTCACCATGCTACCGTGAGAAGACCCTTCAAAAAATGCCAATGCAAGTGAACAACTTACATAAATACTTGAAATAAACAGAACAAAAAGCAATAAAAGAATTTCTACGAGCAAAAAAAGGAAAAAAATAAAAGAGAGAGAGAAGATCATATCACAGTTTTAAAAAAGGAACACATATTACTATTATAAAATTTCCAATTATTATTATTAAACTTGTGCAAATAACGTGGAATATTTTTACTTTTTATTTGAAAGAAATAACTTGGCAATTTATGTGACCTAATCTTATAACAATCATGGTTGGTGTTTTGGTGTGTACCAGAACAATGACATAAGGCAACGTCAACAATTGCATAAAGAAAATAGTGCACAACTGGCAAAATTCATCACATGAAAGAACCAATAAAAAGAATAAAGAAGAGACAATTATAATCGACGGGCCAGACTTTTGCTGTGGTCCGATTGGGCAAAGATTTTGGGAGCCTGGTGTGCTATTCTAATGGAGCTAATCTAATTACTCGTCCCGTGTTAACTTTTAAACGGACCTCCAGGGAATGGGTAGAACAATCCAGGGGATCAAAATTCAGATTCCAGAAGAGGAGGGGACTCAATTGCAACTATCTGAAAATTCAGGGACTTGAGAGCACAATACAGATAATTCAGTTATATTCAGCCATGAACAGAATCTTCAGGGACCAACTTGCACCAAACAGATATTTCAGAGACATTTTTCAAAATTTAAAACAAATTTAAGAGATAAATATATTTTATAGTTGCGTTTATTTACAATGGTTGGTATTTCGTCTGTCACTGGGGTTCGATGTTCGACAACTATCTTATAGTAATATAGTAATTTTCCCATTGTACACACAAGTCATAGCTGTAAGAAAACAAGTCGTTAGTGAATGAAACCAATTGTATAAGTTTTATTCAATTGCAATAGTCGACTATTGAAATTAATAACCACAAGGCAAATGATTTCAATTTATCAAAAAAATTCCGTTTCAAAATTTTCCAACGATTGGAAAAAAAAATGTTTAGTAACACAAAATAAAAAATATAAGTTAACTGCAGGCTAAAACAGTAAACAATAAATCTGGAAGCTGCACACTATGGAACTACAAACTGTATGAATTAAATTGTAATGCGAAAATAATCTGTAGAAAGAAAACACAAATTGCAGCAGATTTCAAACCAAGGCATGTGCGTGCATAGTTTCCTTAAGACAGTTTCGCCCCCTCACCATAGGTACTGGAGGTTCAGTTCGAGCGGCTGTCTCCCAAGATACAACGGTAATAAATAGAATTTGAGCACCGCGATTCTACTCCGACGAACTGATCTAGTATCCTAACAATATCACCACAAGAACAAGACCTTACTAGACAAGGAATGCAGAAAAGAATAAACTATGTATGCAAGAATGTAGGTGAGATTTTCGAGTGTGTTAGATTGCTAGAGAATGAGCATTTTTTTATAGGCATACTGCCCATTAATATTGTGACCATTGGAGTTACTTCCCATTAACACTGTGACCATTGGGAGTCCATTGGAGTATTTTCAGTTTAAAAACTCAAAAGTCATTGAA